TTGTGTTTTCTGACTTGTTATAATGTTTTCTGAATTGTTGTTGTGTTTTCTGAATTGTTATTTTGTTTTTTAGACTTGCATTTGCGTTTGTAATTTGTTATTTTGTTTTCAGAATTGTGATTTGCTTTTCACTTCTCGGCCACCGTATTATAAGGCTAAAAATCGGTTGAACTGTCTTCATGTCTGTGGTCTCCCATGGTTTTAAAATTGGTTATCGTCTAGTGTGCGGCCAGCCTAACGCAAGACCCATGGGACGGGTGCGGGTGGGTAGACACTCGTGTGTGTGCGGGATGCGGGAGAATAAAAATGATTTGTGGGACTCCAGCAAAATAGAAACATCTAAACATTAAATATCTAAAAACAAATATATTGTTATTCATCTATTGCACAAAAACAACAAGAACAACCAATATAAAATGAAAATGATTAGCAGGCACAAGCATAGGCAGTTTCTATTTAAAACACGTTTGCAGCATTGAGCAATGTAGCTAATCACAGACATATCTGCTGATTTCTGGAGTGCAATGTCCAATCAGAGGTGTTTAAAAGGTGTTTTCATATACACCTAGGATGCTTCGAGGGCATCCTAGGTGTATATGACTTTCTTCTTTCAGACGAATCCAGTCTGAGTTATTTTAAAAATTGTCTTGGCTATTCCAAGCTCTATCATTGCAGTCAGCGGGTGTTGCAGTTGAACAGTCCACAAGTCGTCAAATAAAGCACTCGCATCCATAATAAAACATGCCTCACACGGCTCCGGGGGGTGAATAATTCTCTCACTTTCGGTATCTGTCATACGCGGAAGCCGTTCCTTTAAAAATTTGGCTATTCCAAGCTCTATCATTGCAGTCAGCGGGTGTTGCAGTTGAACAGTCCACAAGTCGTCAAATAAAGCACTCGCATCCATAATAAAACATGCCTCACACGGCTCCGGGGGGTGAATAATTCTCTCACTTTCGGTATCTGTCATACGCGGAAGCCGTTCCGGCGGATGACGTAGAAGAAAGTCATATACACCTAGGATGCTTCGAGGGCGAGTAAAACACAGGCTAATTTTCATTTTTGGGTGAACTAACCCTTTAAGTTAGAATTCACTCATCACTCAAAACGCCAGAGTTCTTGAGCATCGCTGAGATTTGCGTGCTCACAAATTCTCATATTATAACACACAAACTGTAGACATTAGCCATTAAAAGATTCATTGGGCATATATTCATTGTGTAATAACAGAGCTTTATGAGATCGCAATGAACTGAGATGTCAGCTTTTTAGTGATTATAAAGGCGCTCTTTGCTCGCATTCTGCCAGGCCAAACCATGCACGCAGCAACCTAAGCTTACTTTTCTGTTACAAAATAACAGTGGTTTGTAAATGTTGATGCTTTAATAACAAATATTTTATTGGGAGGGTTTATGCTGGGATGTTGTGGCTAGGTGACATGGAACTTACTATTTCATGTAAATTTCATGGATGGTATTGAAAAAAAAAAAAATCTACATAGGCTACTTTTATGTGGGTTTTTGCGGACAGGAGTGGGACAAAACATGAATGTTGTGGTGGGGAACAGGACAAGATAACATATATTTCTACGGGAGCGTGACAGAATCCTGCGGGAGCCCAACCTAAATCCTGCTCCCAGCTAGTTTAAAGGGGTCATGAATTGAGAAATCAACTTTTACTTGACCTTTTGATGTATAAGAGATCGTACTAAAAGAATATCCTGTAAGTTTCAGAACTGAAAACATCCTTGTTACTGAAATAAAAGCTTTTATTGACACCTGGCCCAGCGAACGCCAGATCCTGGAATGTGCCTGTAATAGATAGGTTAAACACCGCCTCCACAGAAGAATATCAACGTCTAATTTTGTAATTCTGTATGTCTGATTCGCGCATGACATAGTAGGGAAATAACATAAGTGGAGCTAAACCGGATCGAGCAACCCAGCAATAAACATGCTGTTAAAGATAGCATAATATTGTGCAGTGCCTGGTTGTGGAAAAACACTGTAACTGCATAATATTAGGAGTGGGTAGGGCTGGACGATATGGACAAAATTGATATCACGATATATTTCTTAATTTCGGTCGATGCGATATAATTCCGATATCGATATGAACACTATTTATCTGAAATAGAAATCTTTTGTAACATTATAAATGCCTTTATCATCACTTTTGATCAAGATACATATTGATATTGAATTATTGTCCAGCCCTAGGAGTGGGTGGTTGAACTTTATTTTTAATGAAGTCTCTGCTCACATGAGTAAAACATTGAGCATTTGTTCCCTTCATTTCACCGCGGATTCCTTTGTAAACAAGACACAGGTCGACGTTGGATTAGCAGAGACTGAGATTAAAAAGCAATGCTGTGCCGTCTATATTAGATTCGACAGGAATGGCGCAGCACACTTTTGTGAGTAAAAAATATTTGTACTATGTGTCACTATTGCTTTGTTCGAGATCGCTTGATATGTCCTGATTATGTGTTTGTGTCTAACCAAAGTCACAGTAGGCTCCAACTATGAAGGACGCAGCTTGTCAAACAGACACACAGAAAGTTAGTTTGCTATGCAAAACTGTTATCCAATCATAGCAGTGGGCGTTTACTTCCAAGTCTTCAATGCAGCACGCCCATAAAAACCAATCTTTTCTCAAGCCGGGCTCAAAACCAGGGTAGAAAATACCCTATTACTTATTGATTTTGATGTTTTTGAATGTAAAAAAATCACGCGAACGTCATAAGTGGACCTCAGACAACAGTACAAAATAAATTATAAAAAAAACAGTTCATGACCCCTTTAACATCTATTTCCCAGGTTGGGTACAATGTTTTTTTAATGGCAATCAGAAACCCCAATCCCACCTCTGAAATCTGCAATAAATTTACTTATCTATAATCGAAGGAAGTTACTACTCAGAAGCAACAGCAACTAGTGTGTGTACATGCACAACAACACACAGATAAATATCAAACATTTGCTTATTCAAAAAAAAAAAAAACACGAGATGAGAAAACTGTTTATCAGATTTTTCTGTAGTTTTTCTCTAATTATTAATTATTATTATTACTAAAGAAAAATATTAAACAAAATCAGAAATATTATAATATTCCACTGTAAAACAAAAAAAAAAAATTATATTTAAGAAAAATACAATAATTTTATTGTTAACTGTAAAATTACAATACTAATGTTTATGGCCCTCTTAATGTCTTCATTTCTCATTACAAACTTGGGAAGATGGTTTGCGTTCCCAAATGCATGTAATAAGCAATCAGAGACACTGAAAACCACAGTTCGTGTGTAAAAAAATAAATTTAAAAAAAAGAACACCGTGCCTCTGTGTTTTTGGTTTCGTAGATTCATTGTGCAACACTACTAATGGTAAAAAATGTTGGTGTGGTGATTTTTCTGTAATTTTAGAGGAAATGGAGGTAACTTACCCTGGGAGTGTCTGGACTGCTGAAAGGTGAGGGTTCAGCAGAGCAGTTCTCTTTACCAAACGAATCGTCCCGCTGTTTGTGTGCAAACTTCCTTTTCAGTGCTTCAGCGATAAGAGCTGCTGGATCAGATGAAAATGCTAAACCTTTACTTCTCCGTCTCCTTACTGGAGTTCCACCTGGAGATCTACGAATACAAACCCACGTTCAGTACTGAGCATAAAATGTAGCTGTGCTTAAAGTTTGATCACGCTAGATCCATACCTCTCCACAGAACGCAGTTTGACTTGATTCATGTCTTTCAGCACCTCTAACATGGAAGGCAGGGCAGCAGCCACTGTACCTGCAGATGGACCACACTGTGCAAGCTTTTCTCTTTTTGCTGACTGTCTTTGTCGAATCACATCTGACACAGATACCTCCACACAGCTGCCCATAGCCGGAGGAGGAAGTGGTGGTGGAGGTGGAGGACAGACAGGAGTGGAAGTGAGGACAGGAACTGGTAGAGGAGTAGAGCATGGAGTGCCAGGATCAGCTGGAAGAACAGAAGGGCCTGAGAGACAGATGAGAAATGCATATAAAAAGATATCAGAGTGATGCATTAAAGGGTTCATATGATTTTTTTTATCATTTTATTTTTCCTCTGTGTTCCACTTATCAATTATTATTTGAGGCAAAAATTTTATTTAGATTTAATGACCATTTTATACCCTCTCTCTGACCCTTAAAATAACATTTGCATATGAAATGAGAAATGCTTTGCTACTGCCATGGGATGTAAGATTTTTCTGGGATTAAATGTAGTTTTAACATGTACCGCCATCCTTCAATATAATGTCCTTTATGTAATGCCTCAATGACACAGTCACAGATTCACAAAATCAAGATCAGACTGAAAAAATAATCAGGGATTTTGTTAAAAATTTGTTATTACCATAAAATTGCAAGCACTACACCAGTGGTATACTTAAAGTCTCCAAGTATTTAAATTAAGAAATTGTTTTAATTAAATGAATAATAAAAAATATCTTTAATGCATTTGTAAAAAATAATAAATTAATAAAATACTATTAATATAATAAAATCTGACTTGATAAACACATTAAACCAAGATGTAAACATTTTCGAGTGAAAATGGTTGAGAACCAGAACATCAAAGTTCATCAGACTTTCTAACTTTAAGCACTCTAAAAAGAAATCAACCATGTGTGTGTCTTAAAAAATACAATCTGATCTCTGTGAACTTGGGTTTGTGGCTAAAATCCAGCCTTCTCATTACATGAGATCTTTGCTTTTGCAGAATTTCTACCAATCTGTCAGTTATGGAAATTGATAGCATACGTTACCTGCTGGAGCTGAGACTATCATAGCGATCTGTGCGCGTAGTCTCTGCAGTTCCTCTTCCAGAGCTGAGATCTTCTGCAGGGCCTCTGGCTGGGTGCCCTGTCCCAGCGCCCTGCCTCCCCTCTGAGCCGGGACGGACACGGACAATGAACGTTCAGACCCCAATGAGGGAATCTCAAAAGCTTTCCTTAACGGGACGACATTCCTGTTATAAACATGGTAAGATGTGACGACACAGAACTTTCTCCATAAAACTTACAAAAATGACATACACACTTTGGTGAAGACCAGAATTCAACCAGAAATCTCATAACAGGTGTAATTTCTGTTCAGAAGTATATTTAGCACTCATACAGACGCTGTCAGAGAGCTATTAATAAGCACATATTAGTGAGCTATTCATAAACACCAGACAATTGTGTTTATATCGCTTCTGACGTGTCACTACCTGAATTTAGTGTGGCTGTCCCCTTCATCCTCCACCAGCCAAAGCACATCCGCTAATGTAGGAATGGCTGGAGTGTCCACCATCACGTCAATATGGCCGTGTCTATTGAATGTCTGCAGAGGAATCTTGAAACGAAAAATCAGAACTCATTAGTAATGGTGCTCTTAAGTCCTTCAAAGACTTTTACATGCAAAGAGACTTTAAAGTGCTTCCCAAAACTCTTATTAACAATTCATATCAAGTGAAGACATGCATGTACTTTAAAAAAAGCATGCACTATGCTTGTGTTACAAAACCAATCTTAAAAGAATTATACTTCAATCTTATATATTTTCCACTTATATGCAAAAATGGTCATTTGATTTAAACAGCAGCTTTGAGATTTAAGAAAATAAATGAATATAAAATAGGAAACTAGTCAAAGGTTAAAGGTGGGGTAAGTGATTTCTGGTAGCCAATGTTGACATTTGAAATCACCAAAACAAACACGCCCCTACCCCAAAAGGGTCTCGCCCCTATTTTGATAGCTCCGCCCCACACACTTACGCAACCCAGGCAACGGTTAGTTCTGTGAAACAAAGCAAAACCAATGTTACATCGTGTCTACACCGGACACGAGTGGCGTGGCGAGACATATTATAATCAGTGATGCTGTCTACACCATAGGTATACATATCTATGGTCTACACTGGATGCGGCGCGGCGCGGCACGACACGACAAATCCCTGACAGAAAACTGCTGCAGCGTTCTATTTATGATGTTGACACAAATTTCAAATGATTTTCAACGGTCGCTTTGTCGCATCCAGTGTACTAGACAGACTTTAGCTGTTGTGGTGCAGACACGGTGTTACTCACCAATCGAGAAGAAACAAAGCAACCTCGGCGTCCGATCGCAGGCCTTCTGCTCCTTGAGTTCTCTCCAGCGCTGGAAAGCTGATCCGATATTTACACGGGTCCTACTTCTTGCCTTAAGCCTTCTTTTGTTGCGCTGGAAAGCGGATTCGATATTTACACGGGTCCTACTACTTGCCTTAAGCCTTCTTTTGTTCCGCAGACGGTTTCCTCTTTTGTTTTTTATCCGCCATCTCTATCTTTCTGTCGCTCGGCTAATGTCCGTCCAGTGCACTGAACGCTCTCTCCTCCACATCATGAGTAGACACGCCCCTTACTGCTGATTGGCTACAAGTTTGTTTTGCTATTCGGCCCAAATCAGTTTTCTGAAGTGTTTTTGAAAAATCGCTTACCCCACCTTTAAGTTAAAAGTGCACTTGCTATATGAGCATATTTTTATTATTTTTTTATCAACACATGTCCATGCATGTAAAATAAAGCTGCTTTTATTTTATTAGCCTTTATTATTTTATTAGATTTCATTATTATTTATTACTTTATTTTATTAGATTTTACGAGTCATCATCTCAATGTTACGGTTTACATTTTGTGTTTTAATTGTCTTTAGTAATTGAAATATATATATATAGGATGAAAAAAAAATACAAAAATTACTCAAAACAAAATTACTAAATCCTACACTAAAATGAAAACTAAAAATATTTGATTAAAATAAAATATGAATAAATACTATGAGTATATACATAAAACTAAAAACTAATGTGTATATGATTTTAGTGATATTTTTCAAAAGTACTCAACATTACAAGAAAAAAAATTTGTGCAAACAACAGAATACATGTTTACCTGAAACCGCAGTCGGGGCTGAGGAGAGAGGGGAAGGTTTGTCCCAATCATACGGACTATGCTCCGGTACTGTCCACAATATGTACTGTCCCATACTGGAACCAACTGCAACAACACAGTGTTCACAAAGACGTACTGTTAAAAAGTTGCATTTAAAGAACCTGTAAAACTATGCTTTTTGTTTAAATAATATATTTGCATTCTAAATTAATTTTCACTTCACCATGTCAGGTGGCACTCCAAAGAATTCCAGGACACATCTCAGCAGGTCGGCGATGTCTTCCAGCAGAGACATTGACCGCTTCCACGCTGGATTTCTGCTGATAGACGAACCAACACCACACTGCAGCAAACTTCTCCACGTGACCTCAAGGATCAAATCAGCTGCATTCCATTCAATTCTGTAACAAAAGCGCCATTAAAACGTGCAACGTTAAATTTTAAATACTGAGGAAAACTAGTGGCATCAATGCGAGAGCAGCTTAATTAAGTAATGAACTATCTGCATCAGTAAACACCTTCTCCGGCATCTGCCACTATCCTACGTCTGGGTGAGTGAGAACACGCACGTATATCAAACCTATGCTTTAATGTGCGCTTAATTTAAACACATATCCATCGTATTATTAGTAAAATTGCAATTATATTTACAATGTCTATTTGATTTGTGCGTATTATTCACTTTACCTCTTCCTTGTATCACGCTTTCCGTGCGGATAAACTCAAATAAAGCTCTTTGCGTGAGAGCGTTTGTGATTGGTCGGGAGAGAAGGGCTGGCGCCTGTAGCCAATCGGCTTGAAGAATTTAGAAATGTCGTCAGAGGCCTTCGACCAATCATTTTGTTTGAACGGAAGCAGAGGGAAGTTTTGTATTTAAGGTGTACGCTGTAGTGGTGAGTAGTACACTGTAATTTTATAATTGAATCAACATTTTGCACGAAGTAGGTTTTTGAGAATGATGTATAAGACGGTTAAAATGATTAAAAAAGGATTCTCTCAATTACAGGAATGTAAATTTACGTTAAACTCAAATCTGAATTCCAGCGATGTAGCTTTCATGCTAACAGACTGTATCAGGAACTGGTTGTCTCAAGGTTGTTAGTGTCTTCAGCGTTTGTGCTGTAATTAATTGTTTTTTTTCTGTTAACTCGTTTAATTCCACCGGTAATATTAGTGAACAAAATTGACTTAAGAAGTATGTGTATTTTAAATGTATTTGAAAATGTATGCGTCTTGATTTACTGTGGACATTTACGTGGCTGGTGTGAATGGTCACATGACCGGAGCTGTTGCTCTCTTTGAAAGATGTTGTTTATGTCAAAGCTCCATAAAATGAACCATGTAAAACATGCCACAATACTCCTACAAATACTTTATTATTTAGTACATATACTATTTAAAGGGTCTATTATTAATGTGCAATTAAAAAGTGCTCTGTCTAATATACATCATTATCACAATTCATACAAAATGTGTCCGGTGGGAAAACCAAGAGATCGGGTTTGAATTAATGAAAGTATTGGAATATGTTTTAGTTTTACAAGTGGATCTATGTAATAATATATATTTCAAATAATTTGTTTTAATATCCTTTGGTGTTATAGATATCCACAAAAATGATGGACGTGTTATCAGTAGTCACACAGCTGCGGGACCTAGCATCAGAACCGCAGAATCGGGAGGCAATTGTTCAGGACCAGGGTTGCCTTCCAGGACTAGTGCTGTTCCTCGACCACAAAGACCCTGAAGTACTTTTTGCCACCCTCCAGGTACACCCAGATCTGATTTGTCAGTGCAGAAGTTCTTGTCAAACTAACAAAGAGCCAGTTGTGATATTAAATCGTGGTTAATGTCTTGTATGTTTTTTGTACTGACTACTTAAGGCTTGTGTCTCATCAGACTTTGCGATACCTGGCTGAATCGGCTCGCAACATCAGCGCCATGAAAAATGAGCTTGGCATGATGGTGAGCCTGGAGATACTGATGGAGAGGTGATTTTAGTTTATCTATATAACTTATAGATAAGTTGATTTATTTTACTTGTAATATCTTAAAGTCAACATGAAATCTTTTTTTTTACTTTTTTAAATGTCTATGTAGTTTTTCTACATTTTTATTTCAGTTTTAGTTATTTTAGTACAAGTTCAACTAAATTAATATTTTACTTTTATTATCTTAGTCAACCTAAAATCTTAATTTTAGTGTCATTGAGACACTTATACTTTTTATTAATATTTAGAATTTGTTTTTTCATTTTAATTTTAGTAATTTTATGTTTTTTGTCATTTAAAAAATGTATAGTTTTTATTTATTTTATTTCAGTTTTAGTTATGTTAGTACAAGTTAAACTAGATGAACATGAGAAGTTTTGCATTGGCAACAAGCTGAAATAAAACAAGTTTAAGTTTTTTTAAAGGGGTCATATGATGATCAAATTTTTCCTTTCTCTTTGGAGTGTTACAAGCTCTTGGTGCATAAAGAATATCTGTAAAGTTGCAAAGACTAAAGTCTCAAATCCAAAGAGATATTCTTTATAAAAGTTAAGAGTCAACCACGCCTACCTAAAACGGCTCGTTCTAACACGCCCCAACATACCTACGTCGCTCTGTG